GTTATTTGTGTATTCCTCTGTAATCTATGTAACAAAAAGTCAAGGCTACAATACAAAAAGCATGGAAAGTAGTTTGCTCTTTTTGGCTGCTATACAAATTTTTGAATTTCGTGGGGCGCATGTGTTTTTTTCTTTTCCATAGTTTAGAGAACTGAACTTTTTGCACTAAATCTTTTCTTTTAACATGTCCTTGAATATTTTTTACATACAATTAGCTACTACTTTAAAATGTTTGCTGTCTGTCCCAAACATGCAAGCGAAAGTTTATGATCTAAATTAATATTTATTATTAATGTGAAAATTTAAATATAAAAGTGAGAGTGAATGTGAATATTGTGAACATTTTTGTAAGAATCACTTTTCAATTCTACATGTAGGTTATCTTGCTCTTGTATTCTACTCAATTTACTTGGATGTATAAAAGAAAAACATTGACTAAGAAAATAAAATGTTCTGTAATGTGTAATCAGGGTTCTGTCCAGACATTTTGTGAAAGGTCCGTTTTTGTAAAACTGTGAATAATCGTAATTCTTGAATATAAAATAAACGTTAAGTCACAAACATTCACCCAGGGTCCTGCTTTTGTGAATTTGTGCAAATAAGGTCCGTTATTGCAAAACAAAAATTTCTAGGAGTTATTAAATTGTAAAGACGTACCAGATTATGCTCAACAATGTAAAATTATAATTAAGAAAATTACATTTTAAGAAATAAACAGCTATTGCTGCTACTAAATTAGAGATGCAGCATATAAATATTTGGTATTTAGCCTATACTGCAGAAGTGTCTGCCTAAGACAAGATTTAGTTTGTTTACATTTGTCTTCCCCCCCCCTTCCTTGGGAAGGGTTTATTTGATTAACTAAACAATAATGAAGATAAACAAAATTGTGAAGAGTCCCATTAAAAGTTAAATTATTTTGTGAAGGGTCCGTTTATAAGTTAAAATATTAGTGTAGGGTCTGTTTTTGTGAAAAATATATTTTGTGAAGGTACCGTTAACAGACCCAAATTTCTTCTAAACCAGACCCTTAGTAATGCTAAAAAGTTAACCTTGATGACAAATTTTCTGCAAATGGCTTTCGTGTGGGGTTTCTATATCTAAGCGTGTGCGGAGTATTTGTGTATATTTTGGCAATTTCTTGCCTGCGAGAATCTGAAGAAAAGAATCACAGAAGACTGCCAATGCTCATCCCCAGTTAAACTGCTGTGTGTTTTTAAAACAGTTTTTCAAGTTTTAAATGATGTATTATAAATTACTGCACTTATATAAAAGTAAGTCGAAAGTATTCATTATTTTCCAACTACGGACAGGGATCTGTCCGGGGCAAATTTACCACCGTTTAGCGGTACTTTCGCAAATTCATCTTAATTAAGAATGGTACTTTCACAAAATACTTTTAAAGAAGCAAGTTTTAAGATTCTCTTCCTTGTCCCTTAAAATTTTGTTTTCATATCGCAATGAAAAAAATGATAAATCACAGGTTAATTACACATATTGTTATATTGCCCTCTCACATTTGCTATTATGATGTAACAGAAGAATTTGCTTCACACCCTGTTTGTAAGAACTTCTCTTCCCCTTGAATTTTTTAAAAATGAAACTACTGTGCTCTCCCTCTGTAATTGATATGGTCAAAAATGTTCTCATAATGAAAATAACTGTTAAACACATAAATTCAAGTTAAAATTTTAACTATCGATAATGAATTTTATTGGTTTTTACATTTTATGCCTAAAATTTTACAATAGTAAAAATAAAAATTATTGAATATTTGGGGGGAAAATATGTAAAATTTTACCAATCATAAATTTTTTTTATTTGTACTTACAATTTTTGAAAACATTTTCTTACTTTACCATATTTTTGTGATTTTTCAATATGATTTTTAATTTTCACAAATTACGTCTAGATTTTCATAAAATAGGTACCTCTTAAAAAACCTAGATAGACTCCTGGATGGTAGTATTGAAAAGATGTTAAATTATTTTTTTCACTTTCAGCCGTGTTTGTGCGAATCACCATGGAATTATCAGAAAATATGGCTTAAATATGTGCAGAAGGTGTTTCAGACAATATGCTGGAGACATTGGTTTTAAAAAAGTATGTATGCATATTCCTCTAGTTTTATCTAAAGATAATTTTAAGAGTACATTTGTATATTATATAAATTATGTGTGTTATGTGCGAACTGCAATAATTTATTCTTTCTCTCTATACGTATATACAGTTGTGATGTGATATCTTTCTGAATGCCCAATTTAATTTTAGAAAATGTTTTGAATTTTGATATTACTCATTGGTTAAAAATTAGAGCTTGATATTAGTGTGAATTTAAAAAATATATACAAGTATACCAGTGTTTTCACTATAACGCGAGAATCTCGCATTAAAAAATTATTACCGCGAGAAATTTGCACATTCTATAAATCAATTTCAAAATTCACGAATTTCTCGCATTTTGGAAAAAGCTTAGAATTAAGCCATTTAGAATAAAATCCGTTTCACTTTTCTTCCTGGATCTTTCATTATTTTCAACATCTGCCCCATCTAGTTTCCTTATTTACCATAATTGTTCAGAACCTTTTCGAACAACAGAACACAACCACAGAACACATTTCTCTGCAACCACGTGTTTACCGTAAGGTAAGGTTTCTTCATGTAAGACGCTCAAATTTTTTATCCACTTATGTAAGATGGACAAATACCTTGTAAAGGCAAAATCTTCTACGAAGATGCACCAAAAATATTCAATGCTTTAAAAAATAGAACACATTAAAAATGTATTATAATTAAAGAAATGATTTTTTTTTCCAAGAGTTTTTGTGTTTTTTAGGGTGAGAAATTCTCACCCTTTTTTTTCGATAATGAAAACATTGTATACTACAGCAATATCAAATGCTGTTGGGAAGTTTCTTCTATTCTAAACTGCTTTGCAGAAATAGCTTTTTTCCCTTATTTAAAATTTAATTTTATTTAATAACTCAATTCAAGGTATATATATTTATTATCTTAAATATAAGTTCCTAAATAAGTAACAGGTACTGTTTGGTTATCAAGGCGCTTATCTCACAGTATCATGTTGTCGACTTTTTAGAACAACCAGCAAGTTATTGAATCAAAATGGCGGGTGTAAAACGAAATTGTTGTCATTTGAAAAAATTTAATAGAAAAATTAGAAGAACCTTAATACGAAGAAATTATTGTGCATATTGATTTAGGAGAGGAGATTATTTAGAAAAAGTATTAATTGAGAATAACTTGAAACTTTGCTTGAGATCATTTATTGGTTTTTCAGCTAATGCCACCTGTCATTTTGTAAACAGATTGGTGATGTACATTATTTGGTGACTTTTCTCTTGCACCCCGCTAACCAGACTAAAATTTACAAAAATGGGAAAAAAGTATTACATTTTTTAAATAAAATACATTTTTATTGTTTTTTTAAATTATAAATATGTTTGTTAGATGTTAAAATATTTAGGAATAGGCTGATTAGGACTTTTTTGATTTATTCAACTTTAATATTAACAGTTGAGGTAAATTTGCTGTTTCTTCCTATTATACTTGAATTAATTATTTTATTAGCAAAATTTATCACTTAAAACCAGGGTTGGGGTTTTAGACAGGATACGTAGGTTTTACTGTCTTAAACTGGATAAAACTGTCTTTGTCTTAAAGTGTCCAAAACCTTGAACTTAAGTAAAAGGTAAAAATTTGATGTTTAACCATCATTGTACACATAATAATTACATGTATCAATAAATATTTGATATTTTTTATACAATTTACTTCAACTTATTAAAAGAATATAATATGGAAAGGTTTATAATTTTTGAAGCTCCACAATTTATTTAACGGCAAAAGTATCCTTATACCTTATCAGTATTATCTTATGTTATACCTTATCAGTATTAAAAGCATATTTATATTTAAAGAATAAGTCATGTTTTTGCGTAAGGATGCATAATGCAGTATTAAAAAATAATAATTTTTTTAAAAAATTAACCTTTTATTTTTCACAATATTTTCAAAAATTTTATAATTCCTGCATTACAGGATGATAAAAAAGACATCTATTAGAAAAATTGTTTTGAAATATAAATAGATTAATTTGAATCGGAAATACAAAATAACTGAAAAATGTATTAACAATTTTGAAAGGCATAACATCAGTTTCAGTTACTGACACTGATGTATCACCACTATGCTAAAAGAATTGAACATGAATGAAATAAAAATATTCTTGAATAGTACTATAAATAAACTTGTTTATAACCAACCAAGCACTTAGTCCCTAATAGTTTAACATGTATGGCAAGGTAAAACTTCAGTCTTGTGCTACTGAATGTTAAGAGGGCCAATTGAACTTGATTAATCTTCCTTTGTTTAATGTTCACATTGAAGAGTCAAACAATATTAATAGAACATCATACTTTTATAAACAAATATTCTCTAGTAGATTTAATTATCAATGTTATTAGTTCCATATTATTTTACCTTTTAAGTATTGTTTAGATAAAATTGTGACATAATTTGGGATTTGCTATTATGATGTAACAGAANAAACAATATTAATAGAACATCATACTTTTATAAACAAATATTCTCTAGTAGATTTAATTATCAATATGTTATTAGTTCCATATTATTTTACCTTTGAAGTATTGTTTAGATAAAATTGTGACATAATTTGGGTAAAAGGATTTTGGACAGGAGGGTTTAAACCGTGGATTAATCCATTCTGTCCTAAACCTTGCTTAAAACTACCCATTTTTGTTGCAAATTGCAAGATATTTTATTAGGAATTTTTAGTTATTGATTGATCATTTAAAAAATGTGCATTCAGTAATATTTTAAGTTGTTGCTTTTATTGTTGTAGGCATATCAGTCTCATTTTGTTGGTAAAATTTTGCTTCTAATGTAGCAAATTCCGAAATTTCTGATATTTTATACTTTAAAAAAAATTATGCATGGGTTGGTGAGTGTAGGTTTGACAAGTGCAATGATGAAGTAGCCATGCTAATACTGAGTCACATATAATGTGTCTGTGAGTTAAACCAAGCTACTGAGCATTTTTTAAGTTGTGTGAACTGATAAATAGAATATTTTCCTGCATTATTGGTATCTACTGCATTAATTTGACTGATTTTTGCAGTTCGAACTTAATGCTACAGAAATTTTGTCAATATGCATCGTTGGAAAGGAGTGTTTAATAGGTTCTTTCCTGGTATTCGTTTGGCTTACATAGAATAAGAATTATAAGTTTTTATATCAACAGTGGTAGCAAGTTGTGGTAATAATTACTTTTATAAAAGTTTTTAATAAATGCATTGTGGTATCTTCTGTCTAGATGTTGTATCTTTACAGATCGTTTTAAAATGCAATACTAATTTTGATAATTTTCATCGTTGATTGTAGCCATAAATGCCTATATATCTGGTATTCTTTATCATACATTTTTTTTGTCATAAGTATGAAGAGGTCCAACCTCTGTCCCTCATATAGTTAATATGTGGGTTCTTTGCCTTAAACCTAACAAATTAATTGTAATAAATTTTATAGCTGATTTTTTTTAAAATTAGTTTTGATAATATATGATAATTTTGACTTAATCTAGGACATTATAATTCAAACTTATAGATATAGCATACCACAGTCGGGTTAAATTTTCCACTCTTGGATTTTTTATTTTTAAGAAAATTCATTTGGATCAAGTGTATTTAAAGCCAGTTTAAAAAATTAACAGTATACAGTAAAAAATTATTTTTTTCAGGAGACAAAGTAAAACTTAACTTGGCAAGTAATGAGCATTTATCTAATGTACAACACCAAGTGTATTAAAGCTACTGCATTACATCATCAAATATCTCCTCTTAAACTAAGTAAAAGCAGAGTGATTTTTCAAAAACAAGAGCACCTTCAGTTTTGAAGGGCTCTAGTCTTGCTAATTATATCGATTATAGGTAGCTAGATTAGTGACCCTTAAAACTGCAATACTCAAATATGAGGAGTATTATTAACTTAGCTTGAAAGGGAAAAATGATTTGCAATAGAAATGGCAATTAGAAGAAGCTCTTGTTTCTGCTACTTCCTTAAAGTGAAAAAAAAAAATCTTACTAGGTAAAAAGGGACAAAACTTATACTCAGAGGACAGGTAGAGTGCATGTACCACTGTAAGGGTGGGACACTTAAGGAGTGCTGTTATATTCTAACTAATATGTTCTTAGTTAAAAATAAAAATTATTTAGGATTGATTGGTTTCTAAGTAGCCATTGGTGATAGCGAATAAATTCATACGAGTAAGAAGACTAAGAATGTGATTCACTCAAAACAAGAATCTTCATTCAAATATATTTCATTTGTAGTAAAGACTTTAATTTCCATTGTTTATCAAGCACCACTGCTCTGATGGGTAGTTAACTTATGGGTAAATATGGCTTTTATTGTTGCTCTCGGGATTTAAAATATTTTCTTGCAACATTTTTCCGAAGAGAAGGTTGTGCGGTCTTGCTTTGGAGACCAAAAATTAAAATGTTTTATGTCTCTAGTTGAGTCGTTAATTTTTTTTTCTTTCTAAATGCATTATGGTATCTTCTACATAGATTTTAGTCTATGCAGATCGTTTTTCTAATGCTACAGTAATCTTTGGTGATTTGCATCGTTGATTGTAGCCATTAGTGCCTACATATCTGGTATTTTTCACCATACAATTTTGTGTGTCAATAACTGGTGAGTCCTAAACTATTTTACTTGTAAATGTATAATATCCAGATACAAATTATTAAATAGTATTTGTGTTTCTAATAAGCTTTCCAAACTTATAGGTAAATAATTCTGGTAAATCAAACTTTATGCATTTGCAGCTACTTCCATCCTTTATTGCCATTTTAGTTTAACAATATGCTTTTTTTATTGTATGTAACTTAACTGTTTGTAAAATTAAAAATTTTAAGCTTATCTAAATTTTTTTCAATTCTTTCAGTTGGATTAAATGAAGACAAATGTGCTCACTTGAAGGAATCTGCTACACTGAACAAAACTGAGAAAAATATAAATTACCATTATGTTATTATTGCTCTTTGTAATAAATTTCTTTTCTTGAGTACTATATTTTTGTTTTATTTAGATTTATCTACATAACAGGTTAGATGTAAACCTGCATTTGTCCTAAATGATTGCAATTGCATCCTATATTTTACACACTTCAATTTTTATTTATTGCTCTCCATTTACAGTCATCCAATATTAATGCTACAATGACTTTGTCAACTGTCTTAAGATTATTTAACATGCTACACCATAATATAACTGACTGATGGGTGTCATAGATGTGCATTTGATGGAGGTATTTTTGAAAAGACTAAAAATGTTGCTAGAAATGTCTTTGAAACGAGGCGTTTCTGTAAGTTGTTTTTTTATGATGAAAAATCAAATGGTTTAAGGCACATTAGTAGGTCTGGAAGTTGTTAAAGGTTTTGCCAAAATTCATACTTTTTCATAAAATTCAAATTTTTTTTTTTTTTAAACTAAGGAGACTAAAGCTAATTTTTTATTTTTAAGAATATAAAATATTGCAATACAATAAATAACATATTTGGGACTATAGTTATACTTAAATGTTTTATATTATACTACATATGAAATGTTCTGTGTATTTCCTTAAATTATCAACTGCCGGGTTTATTTTTTTGATATGGCGGAGGAGTGAATTGCGTTTTTACTATGCTATTAAAAACCGTCAAACGACTACTTAATTATGGTACAGCTAATAGTAACTTTGCTAAGTTTTCTTTTAAAAGAATTTTGTACGGAATATTCACAAATTATTTATTATATTATCAAATATAAATTATTAAGAACTTAAGTCATTATTTAGCAATGAAACTAGAATTCCTATGTTGAAAGGAATTGTGTGTCATACGGAATTTTGCTATAGATGTCTATATTCAGCATCTAAACGTAATCTTGAGGCTTAAAAATAAAAACAATTGAATAACTTATTTAGAGACTGCATTAATGAAGAGCTGCGAGTGTATATTTTGTAATCAGGATCGTGTCGAAACGAAGTAGGCGATAGTTTTTCTCATTAAACAGTTATCTCATTTTTTGACGAATATTGTTTTTTAATTAAATGTTTTAGGATATACTTTCTTAATACTTATCTTAGAATAAAACCTTTATGATGGCAGGAATCCTCTCTGTTTTACTTAAAGACTGATGGTTGTAACGACTTAAAATTATAAATCGTAAAAAGCAAAGTAGCAAGCAGGATTATAGTACGCAACAAACCGAAATCTTTGATAAGGATTCATATTTGTGCGAGAATGCTAATTTTGTTGCTCGTGCTGCCGTCTAGTGACGGTTACTTGATAAATTTATGGTGGATTAGAAAACTAATTTATAATACGAATAGCATGTTAATTTTTATTTTATAATAATTAATTCTAAACTATTTAAGAGTTAACTCTTGTCAATATTAAAGAAATTAACGATATAAAAATTTATATATGTTTATAACCGAAATTAATTTTTGTTTAATAATTATTATCTTAAATTGCTCTTAAAATTTTAAATTAAAAGAACTAAATGCAATTTAATAAAAAAAATCGTTGCATTCGGCTGAATAGTTAAACTTAAGAAATAAATGCCTTTTTTTTAAAAATTGATTTGGACAAATTTTTGTCAAAGAATTTTATAATTTATATGCTTTCGCGACTTTTTTTTACAACCGAGCAATTTCGGTAGCATAAACTAAGATGTTATATTTAAGATTTTAAAGACTGATTTAGGCCCGGGACATATATGCCCAATCAGTCCTGACAACTGGGACGTATGTGTCCCAGTAGTCTTCAAATAGTAATTTTGAAAAGAAAACCAATGATCACATAGGACTGTTGGGATAATGTGTTCCCACTATCCAAGACGAAAGGGACACATATGTCCCCATAATAAAAACGGAAGTAAAACTTATCAGTTTATTAGAGGTAATCCGCTTCGTGAGTAACTTCTCTGGTCTTAGGTTTATAGATGAATGAAAATTTAATCGAAAATAGGCGGTATTTTCCAAAACTAAACTATTTACGTTCGTACAGTATGGAATGAGCTGCTACAGCACTTCAAAAACGCTGTAATTGTATTATGTACGGTAGTGCCATCTGTGTTCTGTGAATGAAAATACCTTCAAAAATATTGGCAGGACTGGTGGGAAAGTTTCCCATTAGACAGAGAAGCGATTCTGTCCCAAAAGATTTTTTTGAAATTTGCTTGGGACGTATGTGTCCCGTTAGGTGCGAAAGGGTTAGTAAATCTTTTGCTTCAAGCTTATTAAAGAAGAATCATTTAGTGAGAACTACCTCACGGTAAATCCATCAATTGTAATAGCAGGTTTCCTAATTTATTAATTGCCATATTCACGGTATGAAATGCTACAAACAATAAGCATGAATGTTTTTTTAATATTATCGAAAATGATAAACATACAAAAAAAGCGTTTCCCATTAAAAAGAATTGTTTGATTTCATAATAAAAATACTGACCATAAGTTACATTTAAAATATTAAGTAGTTAAAATTTTTATTCCATTTTAAAAGTTTACTTTTTAGTAAACTTATAAAATAACTAAATATTTATATCTTTAGAGAGATACAATACGTAAATTACTTTATTTGAAAAGTTATTGATATACAGTTGATTATTCTTAAACAAATTATTGAAATCGTGAGGAAGAAGGAGAAACTTGCACTTGTAACGAGTCGTTGACCAGAAAAGCGTCAAAGGCGAAGGGGCGATCCGCCATCGGATTGTTAAATCGCCTCCATGATTGGAGGCTGCTGTGACCTCCCAAACAATGGCGTACCTATAAAAGAATTATAATAAAAAACAAGAACACTATGAAGAGTCATTCGGGTGTTTATAATTATTGATTTTATTTTAACTTATACATTTTAATTTAAATTATTCAACTATTGAATATTGAGGAATTAATTATAGCGATGGAAGGTGGAATTTAGAAAAAGGACTAAATTGGAACATTGTATACACTTGCCACATTGAAATGAAATTTATCTTGATAAT